ATATAAACAGTGAGCTTGGCCTCCTTAAGCACCGTGTTGATTTTTTTTGGAATCGGATAAATATAACTACACCTGAAATCTAGCTAGCCTTGAGTTTTTGAAATTACCGCTATGTGGGTGGAGCACGTGATTTTTGTCTGATTTCGAAAAAATTCCACACGGTGCTTAAGGAGGCTAAGCTCAATGCGAAAATTTTTGCGGTTGACTGTTGACTGACAAAAACGAGCGGTCACACGGTCAAACAGGGGAAATTTGAGCAAAACTGTCGATTTTGATCGCCAATGTGTACCACATATTATGAGAAGCAGTTTTTCATGGCAGATACACACCCGGAGGTTTGCCATTGCCTGCCGAGGGGCGACCGCTATTAAAAAAAGCTTTTTTTTTAGTTTTTGATGTTGTCGAAAACTGGACTGGAACACAGGCCCTGCGGAATGGTAGTTCGTACTGCTAACCAATGCCCGCACCGAATAATATAAGGGGTCTTCATCAAAAGTGATAAACTTGCTAAAATGATACATTCATCACTTTGACAAATGACTTTGTATGGAAATGTATTTAGCCAAAGTTTATCACTTTATCAAACAATTTTGGTGGATAAATGCATACATTTCAGCGAAAATCTTGTCAGGTTTCCAGGTGGTCCCTTTGCTACGAACACATAAAAAGCAAATGAACACTGTTCGCGCCTATCTGGCATCTCTTATGTACTTGTTTATTACAAACTACTGGCAACTCTGGCTTACTTGCCGTCAAAGCTAACTTCCTTTTTTTCCTCTCTCTAATAAATGGATTTGACATAATCGAACGTGTTTGGTTTTTTATTATCGAAAGGAATCCGCTTTAAACGTTTATTAAAACCCGCGAACGCTATTAAGCGTTAACATAAAATGGTCCTTCAACCCGGATCGCATTATATTTTCATTGAAATTCGCAAACCCGCCTATATTTACTAAATTTATTCCGCGCTGACATTTGCAACATGTCATCTCTTAAAATTCGTGACTCCGCGTTAAACGCAATCAAACGCTACTTACAATCCAGTAAAGTGGATGCGCTATCGGTGGACACTGAGGTAATATCTACTAATCTTCAATTGCTTGAAGAGCAATGGGACGCTTTTGCGAAGCACAGCACAGCAGGAAGTGGAGCTATCGTGTGGGGATGAGAACGCCTCCATGGAGGAGCAGTCACGCATACAAGGAGAGGAGTGGTATAGCACCGCCAAGGCTAATTTAAAACGCCTTTTATCAGCTCAAAGGCAGCCATCGCATCAGGGTTCCGTAAAGGTAGCGCCTGCTCCCGTGCCACTTCCTAAACTGCAGTTGCCGTCGTTTAATGGCGACCCCACTCAATGGTTGTCTTTTCACGATGCTTTTTGCTCACTCGTTAATGCGAATGCGAGTTTGTCGGACGGACAAAAATTGCATTATCTTCGGAATTGTTTGAAAGGAGAAGCATTAGACTTGGTGAGTAGCTTAGCGGTGTGTGACAGCAATTATAATGAGGCTTGGGACTTATTGACCGCGAGGTACAAAGTCATGCGAGTCATGGTGGACAGCCACATCAAAGCGCTATCATCAATTGAGAAAGCAACAAAAGATACAGCCAAAGCAATCAAACTCGTGTTAAATGCTATCCTTCAGCACGTTGGCGCGTTGCGCGCACTCGGGCGTCCAGTCGAATTTGGGGCGATTGGCTTATTCATTTAACCATATCCAAGTTAGCATACGAAACCCGCAAGCAATGGGAGCTATCGCTTGTGGTAGATGATCTACCATCCTTCACTTCTCTTCGAGAGTTTCTCAAAACTCGTGCACGCTCATTAGAGATGGTGCCACAAGTAAGCTCTAATACAAAAACAACAACAAAGAACGTTCTCCACACGGCATGCAATCAGTCAGAAACACGCGACCACACATCGGCCGCTACAAAGGTGTTGCATTGTGCTCATTGCAATGGTGAACATAAAATCTACGTTTGTCCGCAGTTCAGCCAACTCGACTCAAAGGGTAGACTAGCCGCTATTAACGGGCTAGGCGCATGTGTAAATTGTCTCAGTAAAGGGCACGTTCTCGCTAAATGCCGCAGCGCATCTTCGTGTCGTATATGTCAACACCACCACCACACGTTACTTCATGCAAACTTCACCAACCAAACCGCAACACCCGCTAACAGTTCAACCGGACAGCACGTCAACGTCACCTCACACTACGCTGACGCTGATCGTGCCATTTTGCTGGCAACCGCTGAGATTGTGGTGCAAGACTACGCTGGTCGTTGGCAACCCGCCCGAGCTCTGCTCGACAACGGCTCGCATGCTTCATTCGTCACCGAGGCATGCGTCCAACGCCTACGCATCCCCACAACACCATCATTCGCTTACGTTACGGGGATTGCATCACTACAAGGAGGTCGTACCAAGGGTGAGGTTACACTATGCATATCGCCGCGAACCCTATATACCAAATTTCAAGTGAGTACACTTATCTTGCCGACAATTACTAACAATCTCCCCACACCCCCTGTACCGACGTCCTCATGGCCGCATATCTCCGACTTACCACTAGCTGATCTACATTTCTCAACGCCTGGTCCAGTAGATATTTTAATCGGCATGGACGAAATGGAAAAAAATCCTACTCAGTGGTCTGCGTAAAGGTGAACAGGGCACCCCAATGGCACAAAATACCGCGTTCGGTTGGGTACTGTTTGGGAACGCGACTAATTTGCAGCGGCCACCTTTACATTGTGATACGCAGTTAACCCAACTTGTAAACAAATTTTGGGAACTCGAAGAGTTGCCCCCTCGAAGGTTTTATACACCAGAAGAATTATTTTGCGAAAAGCTCTTCGACGAAACAACCGAGCGGGCAGAAGACGGTCGTTACTTTGTTCGTTTACCATTAAAGACGGTGAGTCGAGAGCCGCCGCAGTTCGAGCCTTACTCCGCATGGAAAAAAGATTTGCCGCTGACAAACACCTACGCCAGGAGTACAGTAAGTTTATGCAAGAACTTATTGACATGGACCATATGGAGTTAGTCGAGCCTGCAACAACCAACGTATATTACATGCCACATCATGCGGTATTAAAGGACACAAGCGAAACGACTAAACTCAGAGTCGTGTTCAACGCATCTATGAGGACATCATCAGGTAACTCTCTAAACGACGCTCTTATGGTAGGCCCGCAGTTGCAGCAAAACCTCTTCTCTGTTCTGACTCGATTTCGTACTCACCGCTTTGGTATCATTGCTGACGTCGAAAAAATGTACCGGCAGGTTTACGTGGCTAAGCAGGATACCGATTAACAGCGCATAGTGTGGCGAGAGAACCCTTCACAGCCAATGCGTGACTATCATCTGCTAAGGGTCACTTATGGACTTGCCTCCGCTTCGCACCTGGCAGTGAAGTCACTTCAACAAGCCGCGCTCGACGCGACCGACACAAGTAAAAGAGTACTTACTGTACTTCATAAAGACGTATCCAAAGAGCTTTCTCAAAGCGGTTTCGAGCTACGAAATTGGGCAACAAATTGTCAGACGCTGAGAAAGCTGATACCGCATGCATCCAAACGAATTTCACCTTTTAGCCGATGGAGATGAAATTCGCACTCTAGGTACTACATGGCACACAAACAACGATTGGCTTTTTATAGCGGTTAATCTGGAAGCTCTTCCAAGCAAACTTACGAAACGTACCTTTCTTTCTGACTCGAGGAAAATCTTCGACCCTTTGGGTTTAATCGCGCCATGTACCATTCGTTCAAAAATTTGGTTGCAAAGGGTTTGGCGCGCAAACGGGGACTGGAACGAACCGGTACCATCAGACGTTGCCAAGGACTGGTTGGCTCATCGCAGTGAGTTGTCGAAACTCCCATCGATAAAACTAAATCGCTGGTTGGGAACTAGCACAGTTTCAGATTCCGAATTCCACCTTTTCAGCAGGGATGAAAAATGGAAATTTCAGATTGTACCTAATATCATAAAATAAATGTACCCAAATGAGACAGATTGTACCTAAAAAAAGTTATATCATTTATTTGTAGTTTTTTTAATAAATTTTATTTAAAACATGAATACAAAAGATGAATTTACTTTAAACATGATTAGGTTTTTTTTAACTGGGCCTATATCTATAGACCAGAGCTTCTTAAAGTGTGTTCCGTGGAACCCAAGGGTTCCGGCGAATAAAGGCTGGTTTTCAATATTTCATTATTTTGACAACAAAATTTGTCGACATATTTTGACACAACTTTATTTCCTTTATAACTACCTTTATCGATGATATTATGGGCCAAAAACTTATAGCCGCTTTAGCAGCGCATGTACACGCCTGAAAGCCTATTCTGATCTAAACCAATCAAAATACCATTTTTAGACCCATTTGACAATATTTTTCGCTCATTTGACCGCAAATGCCATTGAATTAATAGAAAAAAAAACTACGAATTTGAGGATAGCTAAGTAAAGGGTTAATTTTTCGTAGTAGCTGCTCTAAATGCAATGTAAAATGTTTAAGATAATACATAATATAACTTTTTTAATTTCTTCCTATTGACCACTTTTCTTAATAATTGTTTATTCTTCAAAATGAAAGCGAAGCTTTTCCCGTGCCTATAAGTAAATATATTAGCACGGTAAAGGAAAAAAAACTAAAAATGCATCTGATCAAAAGATGATTGTACCTAAAATCTAGTGACTGTACGTAATGTACCTTTAAGTCATCAAACGTCGGAAAAAGGTAAAACTGTACCTACTTTTTCATCCCTGCTTTTCACCGATGCTTCGGAAGTCGCCTATGTAGCCGCTTTATACTGTCGCACTCAAATCCCAGATGGTAAGGTTAAAGTCGTACTAGTTGCAGCAAAAACGAAGGTAGCGCCTCTAAAAACCACATCGCTGCCGCGTTTGGAGCTTTGTGCAGCACATCTAGGTGCGGCAAGTCCAGTCAAGTTTGAACCTCTCAATCGGCGAGTTGTACGCATGGACGGACTCCATGGTTGCGTTGGCGTGGCTACAAAGCAATCCAAGTCGCTGGGCTGTGTTTGCTGCGAATCGCGTCGCCGATGTACAGGAAGTTTTACCGGCATCACATTGGAGGCACGTCGCCTCAGAGCACAATCCCGCTGATTGCGCATCGAGGGGTATTACACCATCGCAGCTTCTTCTGCATCCCTTGTGGTGGCATGGGCCACCTTGGCTACGGGAGGTCAACAGTCGTTGGCTGATATCCGCACAAAAACACACCACGGAGCTCGAGTTAAAATCAAAGAAGACCGTTGCGCATCTAACACAAACCGCTGACGAATGGGATCTGTTGACCAAATATCATTCATTTAACAAACTTAAACGTATAACCGCATATCTATTGCGCTTCGCCAACAACGCACGCAGCACCGCTTCACAGTCTGGTGCAGGCGCACTAAACACGGGCTGTTTAACTTGCGCCGAAATACGAAGTGCCGAAGTAGCATTGGTAAAGTATACCCAGTTTAATTGTTTCGAACAAGAAATTTATAATTGCAGGTTAAACAAACCTGTACCGATGCGAAGCAGCCTAGCACGATTGCAACCGTTTCTAGACTCAAAGGATATTCTACGTGTAGGGGGCCGCATCAAAAACGCCGTGCTTCAGACGATGTCAAGCATCCTATAATATTGCCGAAGAATTTGCCGCTCACTAAGGTAATTGCTGCTGAGATACACATCACAACATTGCACGCTGGACCGCAATTTATGCAGACCGTACTTCAACGACGATTTTGGGTAGCCGGTATTCGAAACCTTGTTCGTGGGGTATATCGCCGTTGTACACGTTGCAGACGACTCAGCTGCAAGCCAATACAACAACTCACGTCTGATTTACCCGCGAGTCGCGTCACCTCTACGCGTTGTTTCCTGCACAGTGCGGTCGATTTCGCCGGTCCTTACGCCTTGAAATTTACGCATGGAAGAGGCGCTAAATTTACGAAGGCGTACATCTGCTCATTTATATGTATGAGTACTGGTGCAATGCATCTCGAGGTGGCTGGAGACCTCTCCTCAATCACCTTTATTGCCGCTTTTAAGCGTTTTACCAACAGAAGAGGCTACGGTCAGCATATTTACTCCGACAACGGCACTAACTTCGTGGGTGCTGAGAAGGAGCTGCGGATCGCATACGAACGCTGCATCAATGACGACAAGGTGTCATCATATTTCGCCGACGCTCAAACGACCTGGCATTTCAACCCCCCGAGCGCCCCACACATGGGTGGCTGGTATAAAACGCGTTAAGTACCATCTCAAATGAGCGCTGGGCCCTTCGCTTTTGACTTACGAAGAGTTTGCAACATTATTAACTGAGGTCGAAGCCTGCGTAAATTCCCGTCCTATTTGCTGCATTCCTACCGAAGTAAACGGCTTGGAAGTCCTTACACCAGGGCACTTCATAGTCGGCGAACCACTAAAGGGGCTGCCCGACCCTGACGTTGAAGTCTTCAAAGGAACTATGTTTCAACGTTGGCAATTAATCGCGTCAATCCGGCAGGTTTTCTGGAAACGCTGGCGGGACGAATACCTCGCCAGACTTCAACAACGCTCAAAGTGGTTACGCTCAACACCGAATTTGCAGAAAGACGACGTAGTAGTTATACGTGACGGTAACGCGCCACCCACGAAATGGAAACTTGGCCGCGTACTTGGTATACATCCGAGCTCAGATGGTAGAGTTCGAGTCGTAAATTTAAAAACATCCGAAGGGGAACTAATGAGACCTGTCGCTAACCTATCGTTACTACCCACAAACACCGACATTTTTTCCGTATAATATTATGGTTTTGAAACCACTTGAATTGAAATTGTTATAATTTCAAGGCGACCGGCATGTTCGCGCCTATCTGGCATCTCTTATGTACTTGTTTATTACAAACTACTGGCAACTCTGGCTTACTTGCCGTCAAAGCTAACTTCCTTTTTTTCCTCTCTCTAATAAATGGATTTGACATAATCGAATGTGTTTGGTTTTTTATTATCGAAAGGAATCCGCTTTAAACGTTTATTAAAACCCGCGAACGCTATTAAGCGTTAACAAACACAATGGACGAGGTAAGAATGAAACGTAACTAGCCATATAACTTAAATAATAAACAAGTTTATGCAAACACAATGGTTTTTTCAACCATGTTATGGTTTGGTTTTTTCGTGGTTAAGAAGGCGATTGTAAGAAGTGTGATTCAAGTTAATCATTTGAAAACACATTTGTATGTGTGGCTGTAGCTAAACGCGCAGAGATGCTTGCTGTTATTTGTTGGATTCCAGGGGGTTCTGGTTCGAATGCCGCTAGAGGCGGTGTAGTGTTTTTTTTTATTTACGAAAAAGCATCTGTGAAGTGCAGATTACGATCAAACGACGAAGTAAATTTATTCAAGTTCAACATATGAGGGTAAATTTGCAGAACGGCTGTGGCTGAATGTGCAGAGATGATTGCTGTTATTTGCTTTCAGAAGATTCGGGTTCGAATCTCGGCAGAGGCCAACGTGTTAAAACGATAACAAAAACTTTTGTTTTGTATCCCCGAATTATGAAAAAGCATCTGTGAAGTGAAGAACATAAGCGTATTCAAACTGAAAAATCGGCAACCAAAAATTTGTGCAATATAAACAAAAGTGTTGTTAATATTACAAATCATTGTTGAAAATATCAACCATGGCATTTTTAATATCAACCAAAAATCTCATTGATTCAAGTTTGAATTTGGTAATATACTAATTGTTGGTTGATTTTTTTCTCAGCGTAAGATTGCGGATAAATAGATAAATTTAAGCAAATTATAATTTAGATGTCCTCCCCATCTTCTTCTTCTTTTTTGGCGCTGTAACCGCCTAAGCGATTTTGGCCGAGTTCAGCAAAGCACGCCAGTCGTTTCTCCTCTGTGCCAACTGACGCCAATTGGAAACGCCAAGTGAAGCCAAGTCCTTCTCCACCTGATCTTTCCATCGCAGTGGGGGCCTCCCTCTTCCTCTGCTACCACCAGCGGGTTCCGAGTTGAATACTTTCAGAGCTGGAGCGTCGGTGTCCATTCGAACGACATGGCCAAGCCAGCGGAGCCGCTGTATTTTAATTCGCTGCACTATGTCTATGTCGTTGTAAAGCTCATACAGCTCATCGTTCCATCGTCTGCGGTACTCGCCGTCGCCAACGCGTAAAGGACCGTAAATCTTCCGCAAAATCTTTCTCTCAAACACCCCAAGAGCCGCCTCATCGGATGTTGTCATTGTCCATGCTTCTGCGCCATATACCAGCACGGGCATGATGAGTGACTTATAGAGCGTGGTTTTCGAACGTCGAGAGAGGACTTTACTCCTGAATTGCCTACTCAGTCCAAAGTAGCACTTGTTGGCAAGAGTGATTCTACGTTGGATTTCAATGCTGACATTATTATCGGTGTTAATGCTGGTTCCCAAGTAAACGAAATTCTCTACTTTCTCGAAATTGTAACTGTCAACAGTGACGTGGGTGCCAAGGCGCGAATGTGCTGACTGTTTGTTTGATGACAGGAGATACTTCGTCTTGTCCTCGTTTACCACCAGACCCATGCGCTTTGCTTCCCTATCCAACTTGGAAAAGGCAGAACAGACTTCGCGGTTTTTGTTACCGATGATGTCGATGTCATCGGCATAAGCCAGCAATTGCACGCTCTTGTAGTAAATTGTTCCTGAGCGGTTCAGTTCTGCAGCTCTTATTATCTTCTCCAACATCAGATTAAAGAAGTCACATGAAAGGGAGTCGCCCTGTCTGAAACCCCGTTTTGTGGCGAACGGCTCGGAGAGGTCTTTTCCAATTCTTACGGAGCTGGTGGTATTGCTCAACGTCATTTTACACAGCCGTATGAGTTTTGAGGGGATGCCAAATTCAGACATAGCGGCGTATAGGCAACTCCTTTTAGTGCTGTCAAAAGCGGCTTTAAAGTCGACAAATAGGTGGTGAGTGTCGATCCTTTTCTCGCGGGTCTTTTCCAAGATTTGGCGTATTGTGAATACCTGGTCTATGGTGGATTTGCCAGGTCTAAAGCCACACTGATAAGGCCCAATCAGTTCATTGACGGTGGGCTTCAGTCTTTCGCACAATACGCTCGATAAGACCTTGTAACCTATGCTTAGAAGGCTGATCCCGCGGTAGTTGGCGCGAATGGCGGGGTCACCTTTCTTGTGGATTGGGCAGAGCACACTTAAATTCCAGTCGTCGGGCATGCGTTCATCTGACCATATTCTGCACAAGAGTTGATGCATGCACCTTATCAACTCCTCGCCGCCGTACTTGAATAGCTCAGCTGGCAGGCTGTCAGCTCCAGCGGCTTTGTTATTTTTCAGCCGCGTTATTGCTATACGTACCTCGTCATAGTCAGGCGGTGGAACGTCGACTCCGTCATCATCGACTGCGGGCTCGGGTTCTTCTTCTCCACAACTTTCTGTGCTGCTGCCATTTAGTAGGGCGGAAAAGTGTTCCCTCCATAATTTAAGTACGCTCTGGACATCAGTTACTAGGTCGCCATTATTGTTCTTACAGGAGTGCGCCCCGGTCTTTAAACCTTCCGTAAGTCGCCTAACTCTCTGGTAAAATTTTCGGGCATTCCTCCTGTCGGCCAGCATTTCAAGCTCTTCGCACTCACGTATTTCTGCCTCTCTCTTCTTGTTGCGGCAAATACGTCTCGCTTCGCTCTTCAGATCCCTATAGCGGTCCCACATAGCGCGCGTTGCGCCCGATCGCAGCGTGGCCCTGTAGGCGGCATCTTTTTTCTCTGCAGCTTCCTGACACTCCTCATCGTACCAGTTGTTCTTTCGGGCTCGCTGAAATCCGACTACTTCTTCGGCGGCGGTACTTAATGAGCGGGAAATGTGGTTCCACTGCTCGCATATGTCGGTTTGTTGAAGAGTGCTCTCTGAGAGCAGGTGTGAGAGTCGAGTAGCGAAAGCGCTGGCTGTCTGTTGTGATTGCAGCTTTTCGACGTTAAGCTTTCCTTGCATATTTGGGCGCACATTTTTTGCTGCACATAGGCGGGTGCGTATCTTGGCTGCAACAAGATAGTGGTCCGAGTCGATGTTTGGGCCTCGGAGTGTGCGTACGTCTAAAACACTGGAAGCGTGCCTTCCGTCTATCACAACATGATCGATTTGGTTTCTCGTTTTTCGATCCGGAGACAGCCAGGTAGCTTGATGGATCTTTTTATGCTTGAACCTAGTACTGCATACTACCATGTTTCGGGCCCCGGCGAAGTCGATCAGCCTCAATCCGTTGTCGGACGTTTCGTCGTGGAGGCTGAATTTTCCGACGGTGGTTCCAAAGATCCCTTCTTTGCCCACCCTGGCATTGAAGTCGCCAAGCACGATTTTGATATCATGACGGGGGCAGCGCTCGTACGTGCGCTCCAAGCGCTCATAGAAGAGATCCTTGGATGCCTCATCCTTCTCTTCCGTCGGGGCATGGGCGCAGATGAGCGAGATGTTGAAGAATCTCGCTTTGATGCGGATTGTGGCTAGACGCTCGTCCACCGGGGTGAAGGACAGTACTCGGCGACGGAGTCTCTCTCCCACCACAAATCCAACTCCGAATCTGCGCTCCTTTACATGGCAGCTGTAGTAGACGTCGCAAGGCCCCATACATTGTTTGCCTTGCCCCGTCCAACGCATTTCTTGGATGGCGGTGATGTCAGCTTTTGTCCTTACGAGGACATCAACCAGCCGGGCAGAGGCACCTTCCCCATTAAGGGTCCGGTCATTCCAGGTGCATGCCCTCAAATCGTAGTCCTTTAAACGTTTGCCGTGGTTTCCGAGGCTTTGCCTTGCTTCTTCACTGGAAGTGGTTTTTACGTGGCGGGTCCCAAGCCCAGCGCACAACCCATTGCTGGGACAGGGGTGGTTTCGGAACCAAATACACGTTTATATAGCGAGCCGCTTGCTCCAAGCAGACACCCGCTGGCAGCCGCACCTACTGGTGAACAGAAGCTGCAGACTTCAGTGAGCCCTTAAACCGAATAAGTCAGAGTGGCCCCACCGAAGCTCCCTCTATTTCTGCCGTGACCCAAGGCTCCACTCGGATTGGTTACCGCATCTCGCACATGGGTTGCTCACGTTGCCCAGAGTGCGCGAACGAGGACGCAAGAGTTGGGATTGAGTATAGCCATGCAACTGTAACTGCATACCCAGCGCAATGACTATACCCCATTGCACTCCAGATGAGCATAGCCCTCACAATTATTGCAAGTATGTAGAACGTAAC